AAAGATTTATGCTTGGTAAAACGTTATCCGCATCATCCAGAAAATACAGGTGTTTATTAACAATTGTCTACGCAAAATACTTCAGATCCGTTGGCCGGACACTGTGAGCAACAACGTACTGTGGGAGAGAACAAACCAGATCCCAGCGGAGGAAGAAATCAGGAAGAAGCGCTGGAAGTGGATAGGACACACATTGAGGAAAGCACTCAACTGCGTTACAAGACAAGCCCTCACATGGAATCCTGAAGGTCAAAGGAAAAGAGGAAGACCAAAGAACACATTACGCCGGGAAATGGAGATAGACATGAGAAAAATGAACAAGAACTGGATGGAACTAGAAAAGAAGGCCCAGGACAGATTGGGTTGGAGAATGCTGGTCAGTGGCCTATGCTCCATTGGGAGTAACAGGCGTAAGTAAGTAAGTAAGTGAACATGTTATCCGATTGTTATTTTTCTGAGAGGATAGTTTTTGGAATACACAAGCTCCTGTTTTTTAAACTTATACCAAAAAACAATAACTGAATACTTAGCTCATAATGTAAGTGTACGACATCCGTTTTTATTGATAACCACTACTTTAAAATTATTCATCTTAACATAGTGTAAATGTGTAAATAACTTAGTTTCATCAAAACAACCTAAATATTCATAAACATAAATTACTTATTATCTGTAAATGGGAAATTAATTTAATGTTAAGTGGAACTAATGAAATAAAATAGTATTTCATTAAATTTTGCTGATAAAAAATATTTCAATAAATAAGTATATATGTATAGTTCAGATGGAAGCAAGGGTTTAAAATAGATTTAAAATCTTACTAAAATGGTACCTGGATATAATATTGATTTATTGACAATGAAGTTCTTTCAAAAAACACGACAGATTCAGTTGTTTATGTTGTGTTTACCTTCATCTATATAAAGTTCATTTAATGTCAATCAATAAAACTGTTATCCTATAATTAATATATAGTATCATTATGATACCAATATAAACTCAAATATGGTATATTTGACAATATTTAAAAGCACATTAAATGATTTCATTATCTTTCAAAACCTATGCAGTGAAGGAGAACACAACCGAGTTATATTTAGCACTAATTTGTGTTAGAAAGTATATTTATCTCCAAGTATTTGACAAAACTCATTTCATGGTAAACGAAATTAGATATCATGGCAACATACATAAACTTTTGATCATACCTTCCAATCTAATAATAAAGTTTTTCAATGAAAATATGCTTGACTTGATTAGGAAATTAATCAACCTTTACTTTTCATTTATACAGAAAGAGAGAGAGAGAATAAATACATATAAATCTCTATTTGAATGAGTTTATAGTCCGTGTTATTGGATTAAAAAATGATGACTTTAATGGATAAATTTGTTTTCAGCAACAGAAATTTTACAAGAGAGGAAAATTCTCATTTGTTTCATTGATCCATTTCAAACCCTAATTCTATCACCTAAAAATGTCTTTTGTTTATTTTGCCTTATATAACTCAAAATCTAATAACTGCTACTCACCTATAATTAATCATTGTTTAGATGTAATTCTATATCGCAAATTGTTGCTAGTTAGGAAACGTATATAATTCAGAGTGAATTGAGATGTTAGTTATACTTAATTTAAGAATCATCAAGAATAAACATACAAAACCTTATACCAAAACACGTTCAAGATCTTTAAAGCCTGCAGATAAAACGATACATGGATTAAATAATTATAATTGAACTTTCTACATTTAGGGAAGCATTTCACCATCCAAAAATTTTTCAGACACTTCATTTTTTTAACCGTCCGGGATTTTTCAAGTGACAAGGCAGTGATTTTTTGAAATAAATATGTTATCACTAACAGTAATGTAAATACCTACAAAATTTCACTTTTCAAAATCACAACTCAGTTGAAATTATATCAGCTCTAAGACTAATAAGTCAAGGCAGTTCTATTGTACGGAAATGAAACTTGGAGAACTACAACAACCACCATTAAGAAGGTACAAGTATTTACAAATGGTTGTCTACGCAAGATATTCAACATCCATTGACCGGATACCATCAGCAACAGCCTTCTCTGGAAGAGAACAAAGCAGCCTCGATCTGAAGAGAAAATTAGGAAAAGACGATGGAAATGGATAGGACATACAATATGCAAATCATCAAACTGCATCACGAGGCAAGACCTAACTTGGAATCCTGAAGGGAAGCGGAAAAGAGGAAGGCCAAAGAACACATTACGTTGAGAAATAGAAGCAGATATGAAAAGGATGAATAACGACTGGAAGGAGCTGGGAAGAACTGCTTAGGATAGGGTTGGATGGCGAGTGCTGTTGGGTGGTCTATGCTTCTTCACGAAGAGTAAGAGGCGTAAGTAATGGTAAAAGACTAATAAGGATCAATTTGACACTTGAAATAACCTAATATTAATATAGAATGAACCATCACTGTTATAATCATTTCTTTGTGAATTATATACATCAAAATTTTACGATTCATTTAAACACTTCAGTGTGGCGTGGTCAACATGTTTGTCCTATTATAATTGTATTCAAATTAAATCTTGTGTTTCACCAAATCTAACTTAACTATACACGCGCCTTTAAGTAATCACCTTTTTATTCAACGGAAAAGGATTGACTAGCATCTTAAGTTAGCTAAAAAAATATGTAAAGGAAATAGATCATACCCTTACTACATAAAATTATTTTCTTAAAAAGATACAGAGTAATAATTTCAGGTCACCTATTGTGCTATTGAGTCAATTGTTTTAACATTTAATCTATGAATTGGATCTGAACACATGGAATGTTATTGAAAGTGTTCGTACATTCTTTGATTTAATTGACCTTATTTCATTTTGAACTGAAGAATTTCTTTATTTTTAAACTTATGAAAATAATAGCTAACTGATTTTACATAGCGAAATAATGATCATTGTTTATCAAACAACAAATCAAATTATAGTTTTGTTTGCATTTTATATCCCGAATTACTAAATAAATGACAGTAAGTAGTAAATAGAAATTTATTTAAAACTATAGTTTGTCTCTTAGATACTTTATAAAAATTAAAAAAAATAAACTAAAAGACTTTAGGGCACTTTAAAAAACACTAGGAAGCATACAATATAACAGTATGTGGTATACTTTCACTCCTGTACCAATTCTTAAGAAAAAAACCATTTTTTTTTATAATCCGACCAGTTTTTAAGTTATAACATTTGCGGTTATCGGTATAACCTTTGATACACGAACAACTTATAATTTCTTTTTTATGTGGTCAATCTGCATTAAGATAAAATAATAATAAATTGTTTTTTTTAAGCCAAATAGGTAGTCAGTATGTAATTTAAAAAAAGGTTGTGTATTTAAAGTAATAAATACTATATTAAGCGTTCGCGTGCGAATCGCATGAGCGGAATCATGGATACGCACGACGGAGGAGTCTCAAAATATGATGGAACTGGCATCCAGTGCTTCCAGGTTTTCGATAGTGGTCTAACATCAATCGGTTCATGATCCTAATAAAAAATCAATTGGATTATTCTCGCAAAAAAAAACAGTTATCATTGCAATTTTATGAAAACTGTTACCCCGCCTGTACGACAAAAATGTCAGAGAACAAGTAAAAATGGACGTTTTTAAACAAAATAATTTTATTTGAATATAAAACAATATTATTAATGTTATTACACAGTCAAGATATCATTATTTAGTAAAGAGGTTCAACGAAAATATCGCGTAATTTCTATGTGCTTTTTAGAGCTAAGTAACGTCTGCTCTAGGTTTTAAGACAAGACTATGGACGCGAAAAGATATTGGTTAATGGAAATAATCAAGTTTGAATGGCACATTCATACTTCTGTAAATCATTATCCTGAATGAAGATTGTTATTTATCATGTTCTTTGTGAGAATTCTAGTTGATATACTCTATACTTTGTGGCATCACAGATGTATAAAAGTGCGAGATTAGAAAATATGATAGAATAGAGTTCTAGTAGTTATTAGTTGTCAATTGTTCTTGACTAATTCGACATGAGTGTAAACTTAGCTGCAAATAACTATGGATTTCTGAAATAAGTAAATGTTCGAAAATTTAAATTCACCCCATTGCACAAGCAAATAGCTATCAAGATTCAGTAGCTGAGTGGATAAAACGATGACGTTTGAAGCGAATGGTACTGGGTTCCAGTCCCGAAGTGAACATCAAATTTGAGATGCAGGTACTTCCAGCTGACGTCCCAAATAGGACGAAACGCGCTTCCTGGATTTCACTACTAGCCACTATCCATCTTTGCTTATAAAAGCTTGTGAACTAGGGCAATATCGAGGCATACGCACAGTATGCACATATGCCAATAACGGACTGATCAATTGCAGTCTAAAACCTCGATGGGAAGATACAAGCAAAACAATACCAAGTATTCGAGAAAATGTTGATTTTTATCGGAAAGAGCTTATTTTGTCGTAGTGGTTTAACAATAAAAACATATAGGTTATAAATTCGGAATTGTTACCAAGTAAAGCAAGGGTTGTTTTTCTCTCTGCTACTTGCATTGAACACAAGATTATTCCTTATATTTGAAAACAAAAGACATCTAGTTTTACAACAATATGCTAAACAATTTTATAAGTCATATAAACAACTCCAAGACAGATCAACATTTCATCCGTTCTTGGGAAGTGTCTGTTTCAAAGATTAATTTATATATACAACAAATAAATGGAAAAGTAAGCAAAGAACAATCTTAATTTGAAAGTACTAATCATTTCTCATTAAGTTAACTATGATAACTTGACTTTTGGTTGTAAAAACTGATAAGATACAATCTCCAGGATAAAATAACTGTAATATCGTCATAATAACTTATATCTATTAATATTGTTTTTTGATGAAACAATAAAAAGAATACGTTAGCCACTTGATTTTACAGCATAATTGGATATATATATATATATATATATATATATATATAAGTATTAAACTCGCCTGTAAGCAAATGTAATTGTCAAATACGTAGTAAAAAAACGATAATTAGCAGCAAGTGACAGTCAATGTGTATATATATTCACATAAATTCATTCATTTTTAAACACAATGAATGTTAAAACGTGTTTCAAACGTGATATATTAACTTTATAAATGTTGTAGACAAATAGTATGAATGAAGACCAATGTAATTGGTTTATTTTCAAATAGTTGGGATCTTGATAAATCAACACTGATTAGGTTCAATTGAAAGAGGTCAACGCTTTTTTTTTGCTTTCTAGTTTGGTGAAGCTTGTGAATAATTCACTGCATGATTATCTACGGCATTACCAGATGTATTAACAAGTCGAGTATTCATTGTATTTACCGATCGACAACATTTCAATGGATGATTTTTACATAAACGATTTAAATCTGACAAAAATACACTTGATGTACAAGAATAAATAAAAAAATGTGTCATATGATTAATCATTTGTAATATTACTGTTACTCTTTCGATTGTATCACAGACATTTATCCAATCTTTATTATCAATACAAAATTTCGATTCAAATAAATAAAAGAATACTACTGGCATTGTTAATAAAAAATGACTTATAGTCATACAAACTACTGTTCGTAATACTCGTGCAGAACGTTGTTCACGAGCTGATGACGACTTGTCTTTATGTAAAGTACGTGATTTTAAAGATGTTTGTTCTGAACTATCACTTATAAGTGCTACCCTTGGTATTATTGAATTTTGTGTGTTTTTGGATGATACATTTGTAGTTTTCATCCTCCATATAATACTTATATTTACTAGGAGTATGAAAGCTAATGGAATAAATGAATAAATTGCAAAGTCAATATACGGCCAGTATAAATGAAACGCTTTATATTCTTGTTTCGGTGCACATGAATTATCCTTTACATATACAGTCCATACATAGTGAATATTCACACTGGCCAAACATAATACAACAAAAATTAAAGCTGTTATTCCATGTTCTAATTTACACCATTGTTTAAATTTGATTGGAGTCCAAACACATATAGCTCTCTCAATACATAATAAAATGATTATCCATGTTGATAAATCTGTTGAAAAAGTGAATAAGAATAATGGTATACCACAGCCAAATTTGATACGTATATCCACCTTTTCATTAGTGATACCAATTATCCATTGTCTTAGACAACCATGTGCTATAACATATGTATCAGTCATACACATAATACCAATTAATAAACTTGTTGAACCAACTGTTGTAGATAAACGTCTTAACCAAATAACCATTGATAATAAATTACCGGGTATTCCAATAATTAAAATAATGATTGGTGCAACACTATATAATGTACCTAATGAATGATGTACTTTTGGATGATATTCTGTAAAATTACTACCAATCGATAATATCATGATGATATGTTATTTTTATTATTGATTACCTTGATATATTTTTAATTTTTCTTGGCAAAGACATTATCAATTAAAATGTAAAATGAATTTAAATAATGAAAAAAAAATTATTTTCAAGTGGTGTTGTATTTTAATATTTTTTTGTAAAAATGTAGCTGAATGTTTATAATGGAAAAGTATTTCCGATTTATTATTATATCCAAAAATATTGACCAATGAAAAAATAAATATTATCAACCAATAGAATTGTAAGTATTGTTGACAGATAATTTACCTAATTGTACAAATTATCTAGTTTTTTTTCTTTCTTCTTCTTCGAAAAATTAGTTATTTTTCCATTAAACTGAAAGGTTTTTTTTGTGATAGGGCTTTATCAGATTAGAATTAAGAACATCATTGCTAGTTATTGTCTGAATTGTTTTATTATTCTTGAAACAAATAATTTTTAGATCTGAAATTGAATTCCAACTTACTATAATATCTACAAAACCCTTTTCTGATATTATTCAACAGATGGTGACTAGTGACTGGCTTCAAGAGGTATATCCTGGAGTTCTAATGAGAAGCTGTGACCAGTGGAGTTCAACCAGGTCTGTTGTGAGATAGTAACTCACTGATGACAATGGTAGATGTGTGGTTCACTCTCGTGGGCTGGTTGGAGTTGGATATCAACACCGTTAGATGCCGGCTCAGTGGTCTAGTGGTTAAGTGATCGCGAGACTGATAGCTCATGGGTTCAAACAGCAGTCTAATGCTTCAAGGTTTTTCATGGTAGTCTAGCTTCAATTGACTCATGATCTCAACTATTAAAATTACTACAATACCCACGAAACTCCTTCTGATATTAATTCGAAATTTGTTGATTTTTAAAAGAAAAAGTTAATTATTTCAACCTGTTAATTTGCTATTGTTAGAAATGTGATCACTGTACTAGCACTGCCATAATCAATTACTTAAGTAGTCTATATGTAATAAAACGTTTGTGAATTCTATTGATAATCAATAAGAAATAAAATTAGGAATCTATATTCAATAAAAATTATTTTAAAATGTTTCTGGTACTTGTTATTATTATCAAATGATTAAACTATGGTTTGATAAAATCCCTCTTTTCATTTCAATCTAAATATCAGCAGTTAGTCTGTGATACATAAATGGCTTCAATGTACACTTTATCAAATTAATAATCTGGTTCAATTTGCATGAAAGCGGCTAACTAATGATATGAAATTAAAATTTCGACAACCTTTAAGTGAAAAAATCAAAGTACACCTCTCAAATAAATATGGATTTACGATATTTTTCCATACGGATATAACGCTAAGTCTAAATTAGTTCTGTATGATAGCTGAAGAAAGTACGTTTGTTGAATTGAGCAATTTATTTCACGAAATTTGATGGTTTATAAATACAGGAAACAAAAGTATGTTTTGAGTAGTTTATGCTTAAAAACATACTTTTGGAAATATTTTCACGTCCATAATCCAATTATTAATACATATTTAAGCTTACTATGCAAGTACACACTATTAAGGAGTTTTCGAATGATAGTGAGAAGGACATCTATATCAGAGTTACCAAAGTTAATCATTATTTTCAGTGCTATTATACTAAATTTTAAATTTTGATTCACCATATCACTTTTTATAGCCCCTAGAATAAATGATATTTAGCTAGTCATTAACTAACGTACTTAAAGCCTATGTGTGTTTGGCGATTGTTGGTGATTGTTAAAGTTTCGGGTTAAATAGTCTGATTTCAGTATCGAATTCCTACAATTAAATCCCTTTTATTCCACTGGTTAACAGTAATTTTATGTCCTTATAATTTATCTTCATTAGTAGTAGCTACCAACACCTACATATGGGAAACAGTAAATATTTGAAACTAAAGATGATAGTATAGTCGTTTACATATTACATAATTCTTATGATTTTAAATTGAAGTGAAGGAGTATAAGGAATAACTTGTTATCATTGACATTCTAATAACTATTAAAAATAAACACCAGATATTTTATGAACTCGTCCAAACAATATATGAACAATGAAAATATTTACAGGAAGTGAGCTATATACATTTCGATATATTCATCGACAAATAACCACTGATAATACTATTTACCTTATTTGAAAATGATTGAGTAATACATAAGATTAAAAACGTGACGAATACTAAGTACAATCTTTTTCTCTCTCTGTAAATACCTGTTCAGTTTAATAATAATGAGAACGTGACAAAGTTTACAGTTATATCTATTTTTATTTATAATCAAATATGGTGCCATTTTACTTTTTTAATATATAGTTTAATGAAGAAATTTAACTTCATTACAAAAAAGAGATATGAATGATAATCGTATTCAGCATTCTTTAAAAGCCAACTAGATAGCAATTTAATACATTTAAACACTATTTTCTTTATTGGGTCTGTTAAACTTCATTTGAACCTACCTAACAAGTAAGCAAGAATATATTATAAGTAATTTAAGTATGCGTTTCTACATCAACCACATTTTGGCATTATTATTTAGAGATGGAATGATTCTGAAAAAAGGCCTTGATGTTAATCAGATTGAAAATATCAATACGCTTGATAATAACTAAAAATAAAGAACCCAAAAGATTTTTTGATTGAGATCATGAACCGATTGATGTTAGACAACTATTGAGAACCTGGGAGCACTAGACGGTCGTTTCGTCCCGTTGTGGGACTCCTCAGCAGTGAGCATCCACAACCCCTAAAATGATAACTTAAAGGACGTTAGAGAATCATAAATAAACAAAAAAGATTCATTGAATTTTCATTTAAGTTCGTATGATCCAAAGTTTGACTCTCGCATTGAAAGCTGATATGTTTGGAAATAAACTAAGATATACATATCATATAGCTTTTTTAAGACACTAAAAAATTGTTTAAATATATTATATTTTAAAATTCATAGACTGTAAATGTCATTACTCGTACTGTGAAGAAACTATTTGAAAACTATTATTATTAACACTATTCTGGTCTGTGATAAACGAAAAATATCCATGAGTATGTGAGGAGAAAAAACAGGTTTTGTAGTTTATATATCATGTCAGTACATTGTAACTTTTCAGCTATTGCATAGCAATGAGTGCACCTATTTATTCTTCATTGATTTGTGATTGTTAAACTCCAAGAATCACAACTAAGCTGATTCCCGGAATAGCAAAGCTCCTGTATGATGCTTGACTGGCTAAACCAAACCTGTTTCGATTGTCATATAAAGGAACCAGAGGCAGTTTAGTCATAGATTCTAAGTTACTTAGTGATTAATTTGCACCTCACTTTGAACAAGAACATTATAAAAATATACACAAGCTAAGAACAAATTACTTGTCAGTTGGCTATCAACTCTCCCATCGAATCATCAAAGAATGGAATTCATTCTCTCAAAATGTGATGAACGTTTCATCTATCAATGTTTTCAAAAAAAAGTTGAATTCACTAAGAGATCATCATTGACATGACAAACACAAAGCCATATAGACTCCTGTCCTTTCCAAACTAAAACTGAATCATTTCATGTAGACAAATATTATCACAATCTATTTACACATATATAAATGATTAACTTAACACTAATTCTACTAATCTGCACTTGATTATTTTAATAGAATTCTTTAATTGTCATTTATTCGAATCAATTCAATTCAATGAAAATACATTGATATTTTCAAACAATTGACTTAGTCATTGAAGTAAATCCAAAACAAAAAGATAAACAAATCATTCTTCTGCATAACATGATCATTGATTCAATTTATTTACTATCTAAAAAAAAAAAGAATTTCTTGTCAATAAACTGAACAGAATTAGTTGTTTTCTCTCTTTTAATTACAACTTCATTCAACTTTATTGATTGTTTTTCTTTTCCATTTTTTTCTTTTTTCTCATCTTTTTTAAAAAAAAGTTTATTTACAATCTTATTTTATTTATTTTTCTCTACGTTTTTTTTTCGTTGAAGACGAACAAACAATTAACCAATTAAAAAAATTGTTTTGACAAACTAAGAAATTATTCATATAGATTTATTATATCAGCATACACAATAAGAATTGAGTATTAACATGGATAATGAACGAACTAGTTAAATAACAAGTTGACAATTATTTAGTTACCTGTTAAAGGATAATTATTTTTCTTTTTTCCTTTTCTTCTTCTCTGTTATAATGTTTAAACGAATCCATATCTTAGATTAACACTATATATCATCTTTTGTATAAACGAAAACTTTTTAAACATATGATACATTATATCAGAAGAGAAGTGAATAAAGTAATAACACAACAACAAATAACAACAGGTTGTTGATTTGAAAAAAACAAAACAAATTTTTTCCCCTAATTTTTCCTGTAAACTTTTAATTACGTTTTTAATTCTTCAAATGATTGTCAGTTTGTTATAAGTCAAAGAAAATTGTTTGTTAGTTTAAATGGTAAATTCAGTAGGTGTTTACAATCTTACGTGTTTAATCGTTTAAAGATCTTCATTATATTTAAAGACTAATATTTGAACAAAGAATATTCATTTTTGATAAATTCTCTTCAGATTTTACAGTTATTAGATTCAAAATAATAATCCTAAAAAATGGTTAGGTTTTAGGGTAAAGTATATTGTTTATAGCATGTGTATTTGGGATTGTCAAAGAAAATAGGGTAAAATTGTTAATATTCATATGACATTTTCGTGCTTGTGAACACCTTCCAACATAACTAAACAATGGTTTGATGAAGAAAGTGAACAGCTCGATATTGGCTCATTTAATACAAACTGGTCATAGTGTCAGTATAAACCAATTCTTCTCAATGACTTATAGGGTCAGTAACTTTTTGTCAAACTTGTCAGACTTGAAGTCCTGCAAACGGCTGAAGCTGTAGTCATCCGGATGAAGAAACCGGAGCTATGCATATAGAAGAAATATCTTCAACCACTTCTCTTCCTCCTCTGGCCAACTTCAAGGCCAATTAATCAATAGTAATATTAGCCATTGAATGACCTAATTTTACTTTTGTACTTACGACCTTTCATAGTTAAACGTATTCTTCTCTGTTATCTTAGTTCACAAAACCTTGTATTATTATTATTACTATTCGTTAAACATCATTATTAATCTCATCTATAAATGGTTTA